TTGTAGTGAATAATTCAACTATTTGCTACGAAAAAAATTCATAGCTAAATACAATTTTTTTGCTACAATTGTTCATAATTACAAGTGACAACTTACAAAAGAATAATATAAGTGCTTCATAAGAAATAGACAGAGTCCTTTCTTTAATTGGCGAGGAAAAATATTAAAACCAACGAATTCGGTCCATTTTGTAAAAATGAAAAAGTTCAATTCATGAATTTTCTTAAATTACACAATTATGCATCATTTCAAAAATACAATCCAGGTTATAAGTATCGTGAGTGGGGTACGATTCTGCCACTAGATCACTAATATTTGTTGGTTTAACACTTTTATTTTTTTATTTGATACACTTTTATCGATAAAGACGAAAGAAAAAATAATTCTCAAGTCTTGGTGCTAATTTTTGTGCGTGTCTATTGATTTGTGATTGGTAAACTGCATAGACTAAGTCGATCTATTTGCTTTTGTCTAAAAATATGTAGTTATTTAATAGTAATTCCACAAATGCACGTAGATCAACTATACAGAGATAACATCGACTTACAAACTTAGACTTTGCAAAGGTGCGAAATATTTCATGAATTTCTATTAACTTTTCCATCAGTGTAAAAATTGAAATAAACTAAAAAAATGAAAGCACAAATGAAAGAAACGAACAACCTAGGATTTCAAATATATTATGATGAAGTACTATATATAGTTATGGGTATCAATGTTTTTTTTCTACAAAACAATTGATTTACTGACCGAATTGAACCGATTATTCAATTTTTTAAATAAAATTGAAATTTAAATTTTATTTAAATTTATAATTGTACTATATAATTTTTAAAATGTATAAAAATAATTGAATAAAATAACAGAAACGTACTGAATATATTTAAAGATATGTTAAAAAATATACAGTTTAATTAAAATATAATCTACATTTGAATGAATTGTGGGTGGTAAATTTCATGCAGTTGTGTATGTGTATAAATAATCATATAGTATATTATATCTACAAAAGTTAAATTTGAAAGAAGTGAATGAGTAGAAAATAAATTAAAAATGAGAGACAAGAGAGAGTTGATCTGACGGTAAGCACTCCTCATTTCCAACCTTAAGGTTGTGAGTTCGAATCCCCAAGAAAGCATGATGTGGGAGCTCCTAGAGAGGAGTTTAAAATAAATTTGAGATGGGGGGCGGGGAGGATAATAGGAAAATTAATCTTTTTTATAATAATAAAATTGTCCCTAATTAATACATTTAATAACAAAATAATTTTTGGTATATAAAATATAGTCATTAGCAATAACATAATTTTGTCGGTAGTAATAACCTTTTTAGTGACAAAACATACTATTATCTACAAAAAATATACTTTTTACGACAAATGAATTTGTCACAAATGTTTAAGCATTTGGGGACTATATTTCTTTTTATAGTTAATATAATACTTTTAGCGACGAAGCACTAAATCGTCTTTGTATACTTTTAGAGACACATTTAGTGACGACTGAGCGACGAATTATTTTTCGTCTCACAAGAATTTTAGTGACGAAATATGATTTATAAACGATAAAATTATTTGTCCCTGATAATCGAATTTGTTGTAGTGTAAAATGAGTGATCTTTTTTGTCATCTTCATTTTTTTCTTCTTCTTTGATTGTCTCAAGATTTGGTGAATGAGAAATCTTTGTTGGGAAAATAACAAGTGGTGGTGCAACTTCAATCCATGGCTTCACATTCACCATCTTTTTAGCCATTGTCACTCTATGATATGGGAAAACATGAGAGACATGAAATTCAACCAAAGTAGACATTTACTCAGATAGAAAGTTGACTCGAACACTATGATTGTCAAAATTATCTAGAAAGTACTTTTAATAAGAGTTTGTTGTATTGCTTTGGAGTGTGAAGGAATTGGTTTGATGAAGAAAAGCAAAGGTTTTTGAGGGTGGTTTAAATAGAAGATTCTTGAATGAGAAAATATCAAAGACAATATTGGAAGTGAAAATATTATTGGACGGTTTTATGCAATTCCACGTGTATAGAAAATGTCATAAATGAATGAACAAACAAATAGGCACCCATTTGAAAGCTAAAACTTGGCTTGTTGTGAATGATTGGTTTACTCAACTAACACATGTCCATTTTTTAAGAAAATGGGTCTTTGATTGAAATGTCAAAGCCGACTTTGTCAAGTTGCCTATATGATATCTAGTTGATCATTGGTAACAAGTTTAGGAGACTATCAATATATTATGAGCTATCAGCTTTAAAGCTTGATCTTATTTCTCCTCTTCTTTTGAAAGTTGAGCAATATGTCTCATAATATGCTTTGCATTGGCATTTTTTAAAGGTACGTATAACTTCAAAAGATTCTTTATGAATCAAATAACATTCAAACAGTCGACTCTATCCTCCCTTGTGTGGGTGTTAATCTCTACGAGGAGCAGAAAAAGAAGGAGAAAAGAAGCTTTGATAAATAGTCATAATTAGTGAATAAGTAGTTCAATGCAGAGTTGATCAAACATTCACAGAATGTAAGAACTCGTCCATTAAGAATTTGTTTGGTAGTTGGATAAGAAATAAGTTATTTGTTTGCTAATTTTTATATAACTTATACAACATTTAGCAGGTAGATAGAAAAAACGTTATTCATAAATAAAATTAATATGACGTTCGGTTGACAATTTAGAAACCCGCATAACTAATACATGTACTCCCTCCGTCCCATTTTATGTGGCATTTTTCAAATTTCGAGATTCAAACAAATCTATCTTTGATCGTAAATTTTTCAGAAATCTACATTTTGAACTATCAATTATTGTGACTTATAGTACTTTTATGTAGTTTACAAATATATAAATTTCATTTCAAAAAAATTGAAGATTCCATGCGCAAATTTTCGATCAAACTTAAATTGTTTGACTTTCAAAAAACGAAAAGTATCACATAAATTGAGACAGAGGGAGTATAAGTTATGAGGAAATATATGCACTATTTTATGTAGAACAAAAGATAAAATAACTAATACTTACATAAAGTAATACATAGATTCACTCATAAATAATTCATATATTACTAATATTTGCATAATTATATCCAATTATTAAACGACGCCCAAGTCAGTACCCACAAAAACATCACTAAATTGAGCATCAGTAATTTCATATCCTGTCAAAATTGTGGCATGTAGTACATAGTAAAAGTAAATACTCATTTTTGTACAATGATGGTATTGTGCATATTCTAACTATTCCATTAAACATATATCTACGATGTTGAGTAACTTTGTCCACTAAAATTTAAATAAATTGAAAGAAACGTGAAATATTGGAAGTTCAAGTTGTGACCCGAAAAAAATCACGATGAAATTAACTCTTGTGGTGATATAAAATGAGTTAAAAATTCAAGATAAGGAATATGTATCCTATAGTTGAAGTAACTTGTATTTTGGTGGCATTTGGCAATGGAAATTGGTATGGACACTTAATATGGATGAGAAGATCTTTTAATCATGTTTGAAGAACTTGGAGAACCAAATACCTAGACCAATCATATATAAAGGGAGCTTACCCCACTTCATATTTGGACCGCGACATAGTTTAGGTGTGTAATCGATGATTTAGTCTACTATCTTTACCCTAACCTACAAGTAGAGGTTTGGATGAAGAAAGGGGCACTCAGTTTCCTTGGGTGAGATAGAAATAAATTGACATACACACTCTGCGATAGGTAAAAGGCAAAGAGCCCACCATCTCAGCAAAAGGTAGGGTAAGTCTACGTACACACTACCCTCATCAAACCCCACTTGTTTGATTACATTAGTTATGTTGCTGTTGTAACTACTACACTAGGAGCAGTGCTGCGACAGTCCGGCTTTCTAGAAAAGAACAAGGATGTCTTCTAATAGAGATCTAAGCGTACTTTTTTGCTGGGGCAAGAAAGATCTAAATGTACTGAAGATGAAAAAGTGTCATAAGCTCCATTTATATGGTATAGCCAAAAAATTTGCAACTGATCACACCTGTGTAGCTAAATGAAAATGGTATATGGAAAATAACTATATAGCATATTTAGCCATATGATAAGAACTATCAGAAACACGAGAATTCAAGAGCTTATTATAAATTTATGGAACCGTACCCGAACACACCATACATTTACATGTTAAAGACAACACATCTACTTGGACAAATGAGTTCAGTCAATCTTAGGCTCGACAAGACGAAACAGCCAAAGCAAAGGCAATAGGAGAAGTTACATTAGTACAACAATATACATTGTGTAATCCCACACGTGAGTCTGGAGAGGGTAAAGTATACGCAAACCTTACCCCAAACTCGTAGAGGTAAGGAGGCTATTTCTAAGAGATCCTAGACTCAAGTGCATCAAATCAAAATACTTACGAACGAGGGAATACGGCAATGAAGAAAACATGACAACAAATAAGGAAAGGAAAGCAATATCAAACACACAAAAAGGGAACAATAACGCCATATGGTAACAAATATTAGAAAGCAAGAAGCTATATGAGTAAGACTAATACTACGACATACACACTGCTCTGAACGACCGTGTACCCTAATCAGGGGGCTACTAGCCTCTATACCATTCTATCTAAGGTCATGTCTTCAATGAGGAGCAGTGGAGAAGTTCCATTATATTATATTCGGCAAAAGAAGCACCACGTGGCAAATGTATGTTATTATGCTTAGAAGCACTTGTCAATTGTTCAAAACTAATCATGGCGATAAGATCTCAGAAGAGATCACCATATTCATCAAGCACATAAAGGTATAATATCTAAAATATAAACTGTATAAATTTTTGCTAAAATGACACAAGGAAACAAAATAACTCATCACCAACCGATACAAATAGCATATGAACTATTTTTTAATCTCGCAACAGTAAAATTTAGAAGTAGGCTGCAAAAGGGCAAATTGCAGGTTCGTATGAACACTAAAACCTGTAATGAGAGGCTATGCATTTGAGAAAAAAAAAATTCAAGCTAAAAGCATTCGAATAGATATAGATGATCATTTCAAAATCCTAATAATGCAAAATGAAACAAACATTTTATCAAATTCTGGCTCAACAGAGGATTCTGTATCATCTGATAAATCCAAACTTTAGAACTATTATATTGAAAAAAAAATACAGAATTTAACCTTCTCCTGCAAACAGAATCACGATTCCGTTCTTTTCAGATCTTCAATTCTCAGGAATCTCTACATCGCCATCAGAAATCTCTTGCTGCAAATCCTTTGGATCCTTTCCATCAACCGTGCAACCAACAGACACGCAAGTGCCTAAAATCTCCTTCACAGTTCCACTCAAATCCTTAGCCATAGATCTAGACTGCATAACTTTAGCAATCTCGATAACATCATCAAGCGAGATATTTCCATTATGCTTGATATTCTTCGTCTTCTTCCTATCACGTTCAGGTTCCTTCAAAGCCTTGATCACAAGTGCGGCAGCGGAAGGTACAACTGATACCTTAGCTTGACGATTTTGGACAGTGAGCTTGACGGTGACTCTGAGACCCTTCCAGTCCTTTGAAGTTTCCTTAGCAATGTCTTCACCGATTTTCTTAGGAGAAAGACCGAGTGGACCAATTTTTGGAGCGAGTGAACTCGCCGCTCCGACTTCACCTCCGGTGACTCGGACGAAAACTTCGACTACCTGAGAGGGATCGAACTTTGGCGGCATTTTCGCAGAGTTGTGAAGGAGATGGGACCGGTGCTAGGGTTTTTGCGCAACTTCGTTGATTGAAATGAAGAAATATTAGAGTTATAAGCCTAGGGTTTTTCAGAGCTTAATGGGCTTGTAATCAGTCATTTCATTATTGGGCCTTTGGTTTATCTACAAGTCCATTAGAAATATATTTTTGTATAATTAATGTCCAGAAATTTCATACATTTAGAGGCTAATTATATCATATTTTGAAACTTGAAAGTTTCAGTAATTACAAAAATTTCAAATTATTCAACTCTCGGATACATTTCTTGGTTGTTCATTCATTGCAAATAATACATTACTTAATGTGAGGGATGTATCTGAGAGAGGATTTTTGTAATTTTTTTTAAATGATGGAAAATTTTAGAGATTATGATATCTTATGTTTTGTATTAATGAAATTTTCCTTATATTTTACCTTTGTCATGCATGGACCTAGTATATAGAGGAGGATGAGTAGTGTAACTAGCAATATTCCAGATGTAGATTCAATAGCACCGATTATACTGGAAATAGTAGAGCATCATCTACTCATACTGTCACATTGGAAAGGACTTTCACTTCCTAAATAGAAAGGAAAAGGTCAAGCCCACCTTTCATAAGACTAGCAGTTGGTACTCAATACTTGTATTCTATTCCTCTTAATTATTTTCTCCCGCTTTTTAGAAATATCATAAGAGAAGAAAAAAAATTCATGTAGGTTGGAACCTAGCGGTGATAAATGTTATCCGACTTAGAATACTTGAATTTTTCATTAAGTGTTTCGTATTCAGGCACAAAATCCATTTGTCAACTGATACGAGTTTGAATTGGAGAACGAACTATCTAAAGTAAGAGGTAGCTCCATGAAGGTAGTTTCTTTGACCTAGGATGATAATTGGTTATGATGATGAACACATCTATCACAAACAATTTTTCTACGCCACAAAAATAAAATAAAATTAGCATATATTTTATTCTTCTTAAATTTCACTAGTAAGTAAGACTATATTGAGTATGTTGTTACTATTGTTGTATAGATACACATTGACTTGTTATCTTAATTTTAGGTTGATAAAATATGTTAATCTTAGTAGTTTACAATAAATTAGGTGATATGGCCATTTTTAAGTAGGTACTTTTGTGTTAACGTATCTAGTGTGTATTTCCACACGTAGAGTGTATACAATCCTTACTCTAACTAATTCGTATCTTTAAGTTGACATTCACTTCTTGAAACATTTTTTCGTCAATTGTTTTAAAATGGAGTAACTATTTAGTAAATGATAATCTTTTTATTTTTCTTATAACTTATGGACCTATAGACCACGGTCTAAATTTCCCTTCTACAAAATTGAAAATAGTTGAAAAAATGTTAAGAGTATGATCTAAAATTATGAAAAACAGGTCTCTTGAAATATGGTTTTAGTCTGAAATAGCATTACACAGTTGATTCAACCTTTCTGCCTCAATACAATGTTATTTCACAGCTCATTATGAACTCCATCTATATGATGTACCTGTGCTGCTTCAAGAGTTTGAAGCATATAAGTCTATTTCTGCAACTGTTTCTGGTCCATCAACTGCTGGTTTGATTACAGTAGTGAAGAGTATATTATAGAAAATAGTGAAGAGTAAGAGACCGAACGCTAAGGAAGTCAAAAAGGATCCTTCAGGATCGCGAGTGTCTTCTCTCACTTGGCTGCTAGCACGGGTCACGTCAGTAGCTGCAAGTGTTTCAAGAAAATATCGAGTCAGGAATATTGGCAATGCAAATGAACTTATCAACGTAAATCCCATTTGTGTAATTGTGTCGATAAGTTACAGAGGAAAACAGGTAGAATCAACCTCATATCTTGTGGAAGCAAGACTACTTTTTACTTTCGATATCTATATTTCTTCTTTCTCATTATATGAGAAACTGAGGCTAATCATGTGTTTACCTTTTATTGAGAGTTTCGATTTCAGTGATTCCATTTGAAGCAGAATTAGAGTTCATTGTGCATTAGCATTTAGGAGATGTTATCGTCCTACATAGAAGACGTAGAGTCCCAAAGTGCTATAACAAGCATTATTCAGTTGAAGAATTAACAAGCATTTTAGGGAGGAGAAACAGGATCCCTCTCATGTACCTATCTCTCACCTTCATGGTACTCCTATACCCCTGTGACACCGCTATAACCACAACTTATCGAGCTGATAATTTCAATCCTTAAGAAAACCATGGACTTCCACAAGATTAGAGAGCCACCAAGAGTCAAGACTGATAAAAAAACCACTAACAGACCGGTGATGTTGTGTTGCTAGCATTTTGATGAAAAGTAGAGATCACAAACAGAAAATTTTTGAGACTCCATTCATACTCTTGTTTCCAACTTTGAAGAACGAAAAGAGACCACTTTGATCTTGAATCTTTAATCAATCGTTGACAAATGTGAACTATGGAGAAAAACATCCCAATGCCAGAATCAGATAGGTAGAGATTAAAAGAGTTAAAGGTGTTCCTGGAAGATCTTTTGAACTGGAAGAAGAAGAGGCGACAAATCTTGTATTGCAAATTGAAAGTAGATGGCATTTGGAAGACAATCAAAAGAATAACAAACGAGAACGAAGAAAGGTAAGTACAAAATATCAACATAAGCAGGCAGTTGGAATGGGGTGAGATCAAATCAAAATACAGGAAAGGTAAGGCATTTGCTCAACTAAAATAACCATTAATTGAAACAGGCTTCTTTTCGATATAGACTATAGGTGTCTATTTGTTGTTTCTTGGTATGATCTGCGAGAATTATGAACAATGGAAGTACACCATCCAAGAAACAAGTTGTATATATTCTTTTCACCATGATCCTAAGAGAACTTTATGACCTCATTACCAGCTCAATTAAACTAAGCAACAGTTCCCAAGATTGTCCAACGAAAGAAGGTTAATATTTTCAATGTCTCACTTCAACTATTGATTAAATAAAGAAAGTTTCCCCTCGTCTCAACTATGAAATAGAGTCGATCCAAGCACTTAACAACAACAAAAATGAGTTTGAATAGAACTTTTGTTTGGGTTGATTTTGAACAAGTCAGCTCAAATCATTCAAAACTTTCCTACTTCTCCCTTTAAATTTTTCTTAGCAAGTAACAAGACATACAGATTTAAATTATTAGCGCTCTTAACATCGTTATACTGTCCTCTTTTGGCCAATGCCCCACGATTTCAGCAAAAAGCCACACACAATTAAGAATATCTCTATTCTCTACACCTCATATACAACAGCAGCAGAGACAGCATAATAGATACAAGTTCAGCAAAATCTAATACCTTTGGCTCAAATTCTGTATTTGTGTTTTAAAAAATTATTAAATATGTAGCAATAACCAATCCAAAACCCATAATGTAAAAAAAAAAAATTATGATCCAGAACCCATAATTTAAAAATTGCATAATACATAAACGTGTCCTTTAACTTGGACTCATCTGACATCTATGCGCTCCAACTTTGGATATGAGCAGGTAGACATTTGAACTTGTATAAAGTTTAATAAGTAGACATATGTGTCCTACTTGGTGTCCTATATGGCAATTCGTATCCTACAGAGCATCTTTCGTGGCGTCCTATGTGTATTATATCAACTAACATGTGTGTCTAACCAAAGTTGAAAGGCATAGATAACAACTGATACCAACTAAAAAGTACATATTTATATATTATGCATTTAAAAATCCTATTTCGCCTCTGCTTATAGCTTTTTTTTTATCAATCTCTGACATGAAAAGGGAATCTTAGTAGCTTAATCAGTTGACTACTGAAATTTAACCTTGTTGGTAACCATTCAATTCCCCACCTTCTACTCCCTTCCCTCATATAAAAAAAATAAAATATTTATTTCACCAGAAAACACACATTCCATATCCATACACGTAGGACTACAAAACAATTTTTATAGAGATAAGAAAAGTGGATTACCCCTAATCTTTGGAGGGTCAATTTGTTTCTGAGAAAGGGTTTGAAGCTGTTCATCAAGTTTTCTCAAAGCTTCACGGGCTTTATCTGGGTCAATTTCAAATTCAGAATCTTTTTCCACAGCTTCAACCAAACAAATTTTTCTTCTTCTATTCTTCTTGAATAAATTCCATCTTTTTGAAACAGAGGTAGTTGGATGGGTGAGGAAGAAGAAGATAGAGGGATTATTCCAAGGGTTTGTGTGAAGAGAGAGACAATGGTGAAATTGCAGCATTTGATACTCACTATCACAGGGGCAATAGGTGAAGTGTAGTTATGGATAAAGTATAAATTTGTTTGGTTTATCATCTCTCACCAATTTCTTTGTGATTTTTGGCTATTACAACACACCATCTCCTCATTTCTGATCGTGCATAAATTGATATTTAAATTCAAAAAATTTAAATAAGTAGATATATATATACATTTTTCGTGGCATAATATAAATTAATTGTTATGTAAGATAATGAATGTATCTTACGTGAATTGTTATGAAGAATGTATGTGTCTACTTATTCGATTATATATGATTTTAAAAGTCTACTCGTACATATTCAAAAGTGGATGACATAACTATCAAGCTGAGACCAAATTAAAGGCACATTTAATTTAGGAAAAAATATGTCATTTTTTAAATGGTCATTCAACTCATAAAAAAAACATTTTATGGGGTCGTTTGGTAGAGTGTATAAGAATAATACAAAATATAGTGTATTAGTAATGCTTGTATTAGTTATGTTTGCATTACCAACAATGGTTGTGGTGGAGTGGTAAGTACTCCTCCATCCTTAACCAAGAGGTCTCGGGTTCGAGTCTCCTTGGATACGGAGTCGCCTTTGTTATGGAGTGCTTTACCCCCAATGTGGGACTTTCCGGTGCAAATCTGGATTTAGTCGAGCTCCAATGTGGGTACCGGATACGGAGGAAAAACAAAAAAAAAATTAAAAAATTATGCTTGCATTAGTTATGATGAGATTTTTTTTATGCAATATTTGGTTTGATGTACTAAAAATATTATGCATTACATAATTTTTTTAGAAAAAATATTTGTTTACAAAAGTACCCTCCACAAATATAGTGGAAAAGATGTAAAAAAAAAAATTGAGGGTAAATGTGTCTTTAATAATGTTAATGCATGCATTAGAACCCATTGCATTACTAATGCATAGAAATAGATGGAAATAGTAATACACTCTTCAATACACAATAGAGTGTATTACTAATATAAGCATTAGTTATGCATATGTTAGAATAGTGTACCAAACAAGGTACTACTAATACATCAAGCTAATTATTTTATAGTTTTTATAATTTGAAGAGGTATTTTTACAGTTTTAATTATTTTATCTCGAGATAAGTTATTTCAGGATTATTATTCCACCTAGAGGCAAGGATAATTTGTCCCAATACTAATTATTAATTATGTGATAAATTTTCTAAACTTTAATTGATTAAGAAATACGAAAAATTTATCTCATAGATTATACTCTATTTCATATTTTTTGGTCTCTGTCAACTTAATATATTCTTTTAAAAAAAACTTAATTAGAGGTGTATTTAACTAAATTTACCTTATTAATGATGCTTTAAAATTTTACATTTGATTACTACTAATACATTATGTAGTTATTTAATATTACTAAAAATAATATGAAAAAATAATAATAACTCTTGTAATTTACTAAAATAGATAAATAAAATAAAATATTTATTTTGGTAAACAGAAATAGTAAAATAAAATGAATGAAGTAATACAAAAGTAATAATCGCTGAATTATTTAGTGCATTCGATATAATATTAGTCTTAGATGTGTTCGAAATGACTAATGGGCTGACGATGATTTATGTAGTTGTTTCAAGTTTGTTTGAGATTGATGCATAATTGTTATTGTAATTACATTTAATTTAGGGGAAAATAAGCAAATACCCCATAAAAGTAATAATTACAAACATATACCTCTTTATGTTCATACTCTACTAAATCATTACACAATATACCTCATTTACTAATTTCGATTAACTGATACTAAATCAATATCATATATACTGTATTGATATCATTAAGACTGATAATTTCGTTGAATTGATACTAAATCAGTATATACATACTGTATTGATATCATTAAGGTTTGTTGTTAAGAAATTACTCATTAGTCAATGATACTATAAGAGTGTGTGTGTGTATATATATATACACACTCTTATAGTATCATTGACTAATGAGTAATTTCTGAACAAGTTATTGCCTAGATACAAATTTATTGCCTAGATACAAATGCTGCAACCCAATGGGGATGCAATGATAAGTCTTATAAAAAACAAAGGAAGTACAAGAAAGGCTTAGTCAAACGAAAAAATATTTCAAGAAAAAATTATGTACCTAAAAAAGGTATTATAAAAAGAAAAATAATTTCAAAAGAACAACAGATAAATGTAAATGTTATAATTGTGGCGAAGAAGGACACAAAAGTTACGAATGTAACAAAAAAAGAGTAAAAATATCAAAAATTGATAGACTAGAAATTGATTCAGATTTGAAATCTGTAACATCAATAAAAAGTGATGAATTCTATGAAGAATATTCAACTAGCTCAGAAGAATCTGACTAAATGAATCAAGAAATACAAAAGGAAACTGACAATTCAGTTCAAATTCTTGAAACTGAAGAAGATCAAAGGGGATATGCCCTAAAAGCAACATTCGACGGAGAATTATTAAAGAAAATCCAAGGATTATAGCTTAATCTCAAAACTGAAGATAATATATTCAACAGAATGCAAAGAATGTTTGCAAGAAACAAAATTTCCTATCATGAATATCAAGAGGTAGAAAAGGTAATAGAAATTACCCAAACTATAGGAAGACATAAGTTAAATCTCTTAACTAAACCAATGATTGAACAAATCCTCAAAAAAAATAAAAAAAAATAAAAATATATATGTATACTCTTATAGTATCATTGACTAATGAGTAATTTCTGAACAAGAAACCTTAATAATACCACAACAATATATACATATATACTCTTATAGATCATTGATTAATAAGTAATTTCTGAACAAGAAACATTAATGATACCAATACAGTATATATATATATATATATATATATATATATATATATATATATATATATTGATTTAGTATCAGTTAAGTGAAATTATCAACCTTAATGATACCAATACAGTATATACGATACCGATTTAGTATCACTTAAGCGAAAACTATCACCCTTAATGAATGGGGGTATGGACTGTAATTATTTATGAGAGAATAGGTATTTCAGGAATTACTTTGGATTTGGGTATGAACTTGTAATTATTTTAAATTTTATGGTCCATTTATGTAGTTTTCCCTTTAATTTAATACATATGTTGTTTTTTTTATGTGTGGTTAATTGCGTTTTAAATACATATACTTCATAGAATAAAAGTATTTTCGAAGAAAATAAAATAATGGAATTAAGGTTATTTTGATACGCTACGTGATTTGTCTCATAAAAATCAATATCCAGGAAAGTTATTCCATATTGAAATTTGTATAAATATTAGCGTTCCACCCAAATGCACATGCAAGTATATATGATCGATAAGTCATCAAATGATAAGAGGCAGCAACCCAATCCTACTTTTGAGTGTTTATGTGTTGTTGTATAATTTGAAGCTTTATAATGTAACGATCCCTTCCGATCGTTAAAAGTAGACTAAGGGTGAAAGATTTTGGTCAGAAATTTTTTGAATAGTAATTTGAAAATCGTAGGTTAGGTTAGTTTTAGACGAAATCTGAGTAAGGTAAGGTCTAGGGTGATCTGAAAAGGAATTGGGCATAATGTCATAATGCCTAAGTTTGGATCATGTTTTCTAGCAGCTAAGACATTAAGAAATTCATAGGGTCTTTCAGAATTGACTTCGGGTGAATAGAACTCTCGGTATCGAACTTAACATGAGGGGTTAGTATAGAACATCAAGGTTAGAATGTGTGTTGAGAAATAAGGGCTCTAGGGAGGATTTTCGAGTTTTTACCTTTAATTCCCATTATAACAGGTGGCCCGCTATGGCGATGTTACTATATCGGGTTAGTCGAATTTTTGTGCAGAAAAACCTCAAAATTGATCTTATTTGGCTATCTTGTTTTGAAAAACTATAAAAGCGATCAAGGACATTTTTCATTATTCTCTTCGATAAAGGTTAGTTAGTTACTCTCCTAACTTGTAAATTGATTCTTAAGCCCTAAAATCTATGGGGGTCAACTTTAGGGGAGAGTTTCGACTTGGAATTGTGGTGGGAAGGACCCTATTTTGATATAATGATCATGAATTTGGCTTAGGGTTAGGATTTGAGCATAATCCAGAACCTGGATTTTATTAGACCATTAGTCACTGTATTGTTGTGTTTATTATTGTTTTAGCTCAAGTACAAGCCAATGCATTGAAAGTGGGAAAACTCGAGTTCTTTAGAGTTTCCACGGCTTGATTCGAGGTAGGTGATGGTTGTGTGTTTCTAATGTATGGAATGTTTGCATGTTAACTGCCTTATAGTATTAGTTGTGCAATTCATACAAGAAACCCATAAGGTGTGAATATGAAATGACATTTTGTTACTAACTCTCATGCAACGAACCTGTTTAATTTACTTATGGCTTCAAGTATGGTTGTTAATTATGATTGTAATTGTGTATGTTTTTTGTGATTGATGGTTGACTCGAGTACCACACGGGTAACACTAACAATGGTTAGATCGTGTATCACAGTGGTACACTAAAAATGGTTGGCTCGGGTACAACGCTGGTACATTAATAATGGTTGACTCAGATACCACGCCAGTACATTAACAATTTGGGTGTGGCTTCCATGAGAGAACCGATATATATAATTGTGATCATGTGGGACATATTTCATATGTTGGTTAAGTCAAGATTGATGATTGAAGTCTATATCTATGGTGTGTTGGATTGTATTACTGTATTTTAGTTGCATTTTGCCTAAATTGAGGTGCACAATGTCCAAGAAAGGACCAGGGTCAAAACAAAGGTTAACATGGAAAAGGGGAAGATGAATTTGGTAATACAACAAAAAAGTTTGCTTAGGCTCAAAATTTTAGATCGAGGAATACACATTTTTATTTGGTTGATCATTTTTATGCTAAGTGAGTTAATTTTTTTTAAAAAAAAACCCTATGATCCTTTCCTAACCAACAATTCAATAATCTTAGTAAGACTAACATGTCAAGTTCTGAATTGACACTCACCATAAGAATAATTTCGACTA